ACGTGACTCCGCCTCGACCAATCACAGCTCGCGGCTGGAGCGAACTCAGGGAGAGCCGGCCGCACGAGGGCCTGGGGGCGGGGCTTCGGGCCCCGCACGTGCTGCGCCTGCGCGCGGGTCCAACAGTGCGGATGGGCGGGCGAGCGCTGTCCCCGCGCCTCAGGCGAGGGGTGGTTGTCTCGGCGCCATTTTGAGGCTAGGAGGAGCAAGGGTGACTGGAGTGCTGTGGGCGGCGCAGGTGCGCGCCACGCTCGCAGCGCGGCAGTAGGTAGCAAATAACTTCACCTGCCTGACTGCCACTTCTTGTATTTCGTATACGTTTATATTTTTTATATTTTCTGAGACACGAGCTCCCTATAGTTTAGGTGTGTCGCACAGGCTGGCCTCCAACTCACCGCAATGCTCCTGCTTCAGCCTCCTGAGTGCTGGGCTTAAAGTGTGCTCCACCACTTTCGGATCTGCCTTTCCGCGCACTGTATTTTGTAATGGATTTTTAAAAGCAGGCTTGAGAGCCGGGTGTGGTGTCGCACGCGTGTGATCCCAGTACTCGGGAAGCTGAGGCAGGAGGATTGTTGTGAGTTCGAGGCCAGCCTGAACTGCATAGTGAAACCCTGTCTCAAAAAGACAAGGAAAAAAAAACAAACAACAGTCTTGTGATTTAAATGTTAAATGTCACATTTACATATTAGGAAACAGGCTCCCGTGCAGGGCCTGGTTTGCACCCTTATCGGGTTAAATAACCTTTAAGTTATTGCAGGTTGATCAGGCCGCAATCTCCCAAGCAATTGGACGCGAAGGCTTAAATAAATGAGACAGTGGAAATGATTTCAGTGCTCCAGGAGGGACTAACTGTCTCGCAGCTTCCATATTCTCTGAGTTAGCAAAAGGCTTCTCTGGGTAGCCCATATTTATTTGGTTTTCAAACAAAAGAGGATACTCAAGGAAACACGGAAATCTCGCAGGACCTTAGGAGAATTCTCCCAAGTAGTAAATTATGTCAATCAGGAGAACTACCTTATCTTTAGGTTGGTATTTATTGTAGGAGTGTGGAGCCTGCAGTCTCCTTGTAGTTAATTGGGGTTGGAGCCAAAGTCCTCAGCTGTGGCTTTATCTTGTCCTTTGAGGAGTCACAGCTTCACAGGCCAATACAGGCCTCAGGGTGAGCAGGGTCTCACAGAGGTTCACTTACTATGAGTCCACTGCCCATCCCCAGACAAGGTGCCTAAGCTTCAGACAACTCGCAAGTAAACACGGAAAGCCAATTGGTTAATATTAAATTCAGCCCACAGCCACTTTGTGGTGGTCTCCAACACACCCTCCATCAGTTAATACAGTCTCTTAGTTTCTTAGATCATCGTTGACATGAAATAACAGCTCTGTTTTAAGTAGTTTATTTGAAGCAAATATGAGTGACCATGGCCCAGGAACCTGGATTCAATTAAGCCTGAACTTAGTGTCCACCATGGATGGGTAGGGAACTTTCATAGTCACAGGATGAAAGTCATGAATCGATGCATTGGTGGGAACATGAGGCAGGTGGCAACATTTCTTAGAGATTTTAATTCTAGGGGGCTGGGGTTTTAGCTCAGCAGCACAGTGCCTGCCTGGCAAGCGCAAGATCGTGAGTTCGATTACCAGTACGGGAAAAAAAAGACTTTAGTTCTAACCGAGTGTGATGGCACAAACCTGTTATCCCAGCACTCTGTTTTTGGTTGGTTTTTTTTTGGTTTTTCTCCGGTACCGGGAACCGAACTCACAACCTTGCGCTTGCCAGGCAGGCGCTTTGCCGCTGAGCTAAACCCCCAGCCCCTATCCCATCACTCTGAAGGCTGAGGCAGGAGGATCATCACGACTTCCAGACCAGGTCCTACATAGTGGGACCTTGTCTCAAAAAATAAAAGGTGGCAAGAATGATGGGGTAAAGGTGTTTGAAGTGATAGGGAGGATTTTGAGGGAGACTGACAGCAGTGTACTTTTTTGCTGGGTGTGGTGATTCATGCCTATAATTCCAGCACCCAGGAGGCTGAGGCAGGAGGATCACTGCAAGTGAACTACATGGGAGATCCTATTTCAAAACAAACAAATTCAATGTGCTTTTCAATAACACCCCTTATGAACAAAGATATAAAATTAATAACATTAACAAATTGAACAAATTGAATCAAGCACTACATTAAAAAAAAAAGTTTGGCCAAGTAGAGCATATCCCTGGAATGCAAGGATATTTCAAGGTAAGAAAACACATCAATTAAAAAAACAGAAAGACAGAAAATACAACAATTTAACAGAATAAAGGGGAAAAAAAACTACTCTGAACTTGATAAGGTTTCTCCGGGAGAATGGAAGCGGTTGCTGGCTGGGAACCTATCGCAGTGGCAGAGCCCTGAGAACTGCTCTGGGCTCTGGTTTAGATCCCAGCACCGTGACAGGGACAGAGAAAGGATGTGAAGAGGCTGTGTGTGCTGCCCTGAGCTCCTCTCCCACACCCTTTTTAATTTTTTTGTTTCAACATGTTATCTAAATTGCCCATGCTGGACAAAAGGCATTCTTATAAAATCAGTAACAGGAACTTTATAAACTTAGGAAGAGATTTTGTTCTTGTTTGTTTTTTTTGAGACAAGTCTCACTATGTAGTGCAGGCTGGCCTTGAACTCGCTGTGTAACCCAGCTGGTCTCAAACTCATGGCAGTCCTCCTGCCTCAGTCCCTCGACTGCAGGGATTACAGGTGTGTGCCACCATGCCCAGCAGGAATTTATGAATGTCATCCTTTTATGGCGTAAAATCCCTAAGTGAAATTACAACAAGCCAAGTATGATGGCACACACCTGTAGTTCCAGGATTCTAGGAGGCTGAGACAGGAGGGTTGCAATTTCCAGCTAAGACTCAGCAACTGAGGGAGACCCTGTCTCAAAAAATGAAAAGGTCTGGGGATGTAGCTCAGCCTGAGGCCCCTGGGCTCAATCCCGGTCACCCAAAACAAAACAAAATAGTTTTGATTACACTGTAAAACTTTTTTTTTTTTTCAAATGAGACAGGGTCAGGCCAGGGATATAGCTCAGTGGTGCAAGTGCTTGCCTGGCAAGTGCAAGATATTGAATTCGATTCCTGGTACCAGAAAAAAAAAATTAAATGAGACAGGGACAGGGTCTTGATCTGTATTTTGTTTGTTTGGTTTTCTGTCTTTTCTTCTGGTACCAGGGATGGAACTCACGACCTTGCACTTGCCAGGCAGGCACTTTGCCGCTGAGCTAAATTCCTAGCCCCCAGGGGCTTGATCTGTAGTCCAGGCTGGCCTTGAACTCACTATGTAGTCAAGGCTGGTCTCAAGTATGTGGCAATCCTCTTGCCTCAGCCTCCCAAATGCTGGAATTACAGTTATGCGCCACCCCGCCCAGCCACAATGTAAAACTTCTAGATGCAAGAGTCTCTAGGAACAAATTAAAAATAGGTGGAACAGGGGGCTGGGGATTTAGCTCAGTGGCACAGAGCCTGCCTGGCAAGTGCGAGGTCGTGAGTTTGATTCCCGGTACCAGAAAAAAAACAAACAGCAAAAAAAATAGGTGGAACAAATTGCAAAAACATTTGTGACATATCTAAGAATATTATTCAGATATGAAGATGCAAATCAACAAAGAACACATACGAGCAAAGGGCATGAAAAGCAATTTTCAGAAGAAATTTAAGTAGCTAATAAATGCATGAAGAAGTGCTTAATCAACCATCACAACTTAAAACCCTATCATAGGGCTGGGGATATAGCTCAGTGGCACAGCGACCTGGTAAGCTCGAGGCCCTGAGTTAAAATTCCCATTTTTAAGAAAAACAGACCTATCATAGGTAGGCATGGTGGCACACACCTGTAGTCCCAGTACTCTGAGAGGATGAGACAGGAGGATTCAAGCCTAGCCTGGGCATCTTAGCAATTTAGTGAACCCAGGATTTGGAGGCAGATCTATTTAACATCAGATGGGTACCAACAAGAAATCAATCCTTCTAAAAATGTCAGGCCGTGAGCCTTGGTAGCTTGGGACTTACATGGGATAAGCAAGTAGGAAGTACAGAAGCAGAGTACTTGGCTGTCTTTGATTGGTTCTGAAAATATGCATCACGTTTCTAAGAGACAGAAGTAACAGGAACTGGAACAGGCACTATTACCTGGGTAACTAACAGAAACTGAAGTATACTGGGGCGGGGGGCATTTTCTGTTACACTCTCAAAATTAAAAAAAAAAATTGTAAAGCAGGGTGTGGAACTGGGACTGTAGCTCAGTGCTAAGGCCCTGGGTTCTGTCATCAGCACCGCATGCACACACAAAATACATGTATTTTTTAAATTATATATTCATGTATGTGTGTGTGATTTTCCCCCCCACCAGAGTGACAGAAATTAACACACGAAACAACAACGTGCTTTGAGATGGGAAAGCCAATGAAAACACATGTAGTTACAAACCCCGGGAAAGAAATTTGGCAGTTGCCATAAAAGGTAGAAATTCTCGTTCCTCACTCGAGGAATTCCCCTTGCTGGAGGGTTCCTGAGATTCAGGTTCGGTGTCCACAGGAAGACGGCTGAGGCTGTGTGCGCCGTCCACTACCCCTAGCTGTCCCCATCCCGTGTTGGGAGCTTGAGTCCCAGCATCCTTTTCGGCCATCGGCCGCCCCCAGGAGGCTTCCTGTGTGATGCAGGGTGCAGCAGACACCCGGAAACCCTCTCCCACTCGGTATGGGAGCCAAACTCCCACTGCTAGAGTGATTGATTTGAGAGTCAGGAAGTTACCTGTCCTTGTATTTTCTTTTCTTTTTTTTTTTTTTTTTTTGGT